ATTTCGCTCTTACTACTTAAAACGAAAATTACAACTATTAAACAAAAAAATGTGTCTGACTGAAAATTGGGTTTTCTACTTATATAAATAATAAATAAACTATAAATTTGTCTGACGTAAGGTAGTTTTTTCTACTTAAAGGAATAGATTAATGAAATAGTTATTGTTTGAGATAAAAATTGAATAAACTACTGATAACGAATATTAAAACTAAAAAAAAGCTTTGTCTGACATAAAATTGATTTTTCTACTTATAAAAATAAATAAATCATTTAAAAATATATTTTCTCATTCTAAATTGACTTTAAACTCTTGTCAACACAGCTTGTAAAAAAATTAAAATTTCTGACTGACTCAAGTTGACTAAAACCACTGAAAATTTACAATTTATTTTCACTACTGAAACAAAGATTATGACTAAAAAAAATTTTTTCTACATTAAAAATATCACATCAGAAAATTGTCTTTTACTACTTACAATGCAATTATAAATAATACTGCCTGACCAAAAATTTTGTTATACTACTTATTTGATAATTATGAAATTCTACAATGTCTTGCGACCAAAATAATAATATTTATTATTAAAATTAATTATTATTTATAAAAATTAATATTTATTATTAGTAATAATTATTATTATCTTGTGAACAATAAGCAAATATTAATAAAAAATAATTGACAAAAAAAAATTTTTTTTTAAATAACAAAATTTCAAAAACTAAGTGAATCCTGAAAACGAAAAAATGAATTATTATTAATTACAACAATTAAAACAATAGTTATTAATTACAACTAATTCAATTTTTTTGATTTTTTTCCTTTTTTTATTGGGCGTCTGATACATGTAACGAATACAATTCTTTTGAAATTCATGCTTCAGTATTTTAATGCGTATTTTAGAACTCTTAAAATCTATTTATACAATGAAATCTAAATTTCCGCTTTTTCACAAATGTTGTTAAGAATTATACATATATGTTTTTTTTGTTTCCTGAAACGTGTCTTTCGAAAAAAAAGAAAAGAAAAGAAAATTAATTCTTTCTTCGGTATCGATGTGCCCTGTACATAATAATTAATTCCAACATACAATTTTAAAGTATAGCATCATTCGTTTATCACATATCAAAAATTATATTTATATATATATTACATCGTAGTTATGATTTTCTGATAAACTGAATATTTCACAATAAATTTGATATTATTCAATAATAATAATAGTATAATAATTCGTAGTAAAAGAAAATGAAATTAGCCGAGACTTTGTTTATTAATAATGATAAAATGATTAATTAATCAATTAAAAATATTTTATTAATATTTATTGACTAAATTAATTCATCAGCAAACTAGTTTATTCATAATTTCTGTTATTTTTACTCTTATTTCTATTTTATATATTTAAATATATTTTAATTTTCTTGTTTATTCAAAAATTAATTTCTTGAACGATTTATTTCAAAGAATTCTTTGAAAAATTTATTCAAAATTTATTCAAAATTTATTCAAAAAGTAATGAATTGATCAATTTATTCAAAAATTACTCTTTTAAACAATTTATTGGAAAATTAATTCATTTAATAAACTTTCAAATAATTCTTTGAAAAATTTATTCAAAAATTAATCTTTTGAACAATTTATTGAAAAATTAATTCATCAAACAAATTAAAAAATTAATTTCTTGAACAAAAGTTAATTAAAAAATTAATTCACTAAATAAACATTCAAGTAATATTTTTAAAAATTTATTCAAAAATTAATTCATTGAACAAACTTTCAAATAATTCTTTTGAACAATTTATTCAAAAACTAATTTATTAAACAATTCAACAGAAAATTTATCAAACAATTCATTGGAGATTTTTTTAAAAAGCAAAACTAGTGATTGAAAAATTAATTAATTAATCAATTTTTATTAAGAAAATAATTTTCAAAAAAAAAAATTAATTTATCGATTAAAAAATAGTAGAAAAAAGTTTGAATTTACGCTTGGAATTTTTACAACACACACAATTTTAAATTATGACTCGAAAAATCGTATTTTGAAAAACTAATTTTTTTCTCTGGTTATAAAAATAAAGTCACGATTAATTTCAAATTCGGATACAATTTTTCTTTTTTCAACCGATAAACATACGAAGAGTATGCGCCACATTAAAAATAAAAAAAATATATAATTTCTTTATGATTAAATTTGACAAAATGTTACTGAATAAAGTATGAAATAAAAGCACCAACTCAAAGTCTTTACACACATATATTAAAAAGCTGTACAAATATACTAAGGTGTAAAAAAAATCCAGTTTTCTTCATTTTTTTAATAATAAATATTTAAAAAAGAAAGTCAATAACTTTATTTCATGCTTTGCTCGTAACCAAAAAAAAGTTTTATGCGCAGCATAATAAATTGAAATCGCTTTCAATTTTATTTTTCCATCATTTTAGTATTTATTTTTGTTTTTTCTTTTTTTGTTCAATTGGTTTCGTTCAAAAAAAAAAAAAAGTATTTTTCCTTTTTTTTTGACTTTTTTTTTATACTTAATATATTTTTTAGAGCGAGTCATGCAATTTTCCTTAATACACTTATTTTGATACATATCTACTCTCCCTAATATTGAAATACTAAACTTATTTAAATATTCTCTATCATAACTGGTGGATTAATATATAAAATTAAACATGCCAAACAATCCATAAATTTAGGTCAAATATATTGTTAATTATTAACAAAGGCAACTGATTGATCACAATTAAAGAGACATATTGAAACGTATATAAGGACTTGATGGAAAATAAATTCCATTTTAAAAAAAGAAAACTATTTCCCTGCGTAGAAGAAAATTAATTTCTTTGCAATAGAAAAGAAATATTTATAATTTCAGTATTTATACTTATTAAAGAATAATTTTTCTTCTTCTTAATCAACTGACTGATTGACCTAATTGTATATATATAAAATTAAGTTAGCACATTAACTGCCACATATAACTTATACATATAATTATAAATTTCAAAAGAAAAAAATTAAACAAAAAATATAAAAATTTTTTTTATTGATTTTTCACTGATTATTTATTGTTTATTAAAGTTTATTAACTTTTTTTTCATAAAAAATGTTTAATTTATACCATTTTTAGAATAATTTGATAAAATTTGATTTTTTTTTCCTTTTTTTTTATCAACTAAATTTTTTTTTCAAAAATTATATAATTTGAAAAAATATTTTTTTTTTCTCCCACCGCGCTCGCACAAGAAATTATGAAAATTTGGCAATTAACGCGATAACATCACAAATGATTTGAATGGATAAAAATTAAAATCAATTGTGATTTATAGCAGTCTATGGGAATTTGAAAATACCTAAATTGTTTTTTTTTCACACACCTATTTCTCGATTAAATTCTTAAAAAAATTTTGTTCAGTTATATGTTGACAGTAAAAAGCGTAAAAAGTATTTTTTTTTAATATTATTATTATTATTAAAAATTGATGATAATTCTCAAAACTATCTAATAGAATAAAAATATTACTTTGGTTGCCATTACTTTAAAAAGTAATAATAGCACTGCATTTATTAAAATGTATAACGAATTTTTCTTTTTTTTGGCTTTAGATGATTATTATTTTTATCGCAAATTATATTTATTTATTTATTGTTATCGTTTTTTATTTTAATTTTTATTATCATTATTAATCGATATCATTATCATTCCCTTTATCACTATCATTATCAACATTCTCTTTATTATAATTTTTTATGCTCATCATCATTCCCTTTATTTTCATTTTTTTGTCACTATTTCCTTTTATCATCAACATTATAATTATTATCATAATTAATATTATTAACACCATCGTTATCATGGCAAAAAAAAATTTTTTAAGAATTGAAAAAGAAAAATGTTTGACAAAATTATTTTTCTCGATAATTGACAAATTAGTTAAGAACAGTTTTTCAAAAATCTAGTAAATATTTTGTCTAGTTTACAGTACTTTGAAAAAAAATCTCAAGCGTTAATTAATAGGAACAGTTTTTTACTTAAAAATAATTAGCTACGTTTTTACTGAATTCAGTAAAATTTATCGTGATTATTGTATTTAGACACTTATTTCTTTTTTACACAATCATTTTGGTAAAAAATATTGATAAAATGATGTAAACTTGCATTTCAAATCAATATTTTTTTTCTTAAAATTCTCGAGAAATTCTGTACAAAATTCATTAATGAAATTAATCAACAGAAAATTAATTTATAAGTGAAATTAATCAACAGAAAATTAATTTATGAGTGAAATTAATTTACTAGTGAAATTAACTATTGGAAAATTAATTTATTAGTGAAATTAATTAACAGAGAATTAATTTATTTCATTAATAAATTAATTTCATTACTAATTGACAGAAAATTAATTTTATTGAAAGAAAGCAAGAAAGAAAAAAAAAAGAAAAATTGAAAATCTTCAAAGAAAAACAATTTTGTAAAAAAGGAAAAATTCCCCAATATGCTAATATTACTTTATTTTGCAACTTTTCGTCAAAGTTGTTTTTGAAAAAAGAAACTGGTTTTTTTAAATCCCCAAGGGAAATTAAATTTTAAAAAATCAATTTCCTTCCTTTTTTTGAAAGAAACGATTTTTTTTTACCATTTTCAAGAAAAATAATCAAATTAGATTGATTTTAAAAAAATTTGAAAAGAGATTTTACTTTTTTTTCCTAACTATCAACTAGAAATTTGTAGGATTTTTTTTAAATTTATATACTTGAATGCAGTATTAATAAATACAGTATAACTTGAGCCGTATAGATATCACATTATCACATTATTAAGGGTGATCTATTATTAGCAGAAAAACAATAATAATAATTGGTGAGATAGGTGTGTGTTTGTGTGTGCTTTTCGATAAAGTACCATTTTTTTTAAATATATAATTTGTAGGAAAAATGTAATCCTACCGATGATTTTTCATTTTTAATATTTAAAAAAAACAAATTCATATTTCTTCATCAATCATCATGGCAACAATACTAATTGTTAAATTATATTTATAACTATTATACAGTACGTGTGTCAAACCTTTCGTTTACGAAGTTTTGCTTGAGCTTCTTTTAGCAGCAGATCGAATGTGTGATCGTCTCCGCCTGACGACGACGACTTTATCATATTCCTACCACCATAGGAATTACCCGGTGCTCCGTCTGTTAAAAAAAACCATTTTTTTCTGTTAATTTAATATTTTTTATTGCATAAATAGGTAAATTTAATATTTAAATAAATAAAGTTCCATTTTTCTTTTTTTCTTCTCTCAATTGAGTGATTTTTTATTGAATAAATAAATTATTATCTTTATAAATGATAGAATTCTTCTCCAAAATTCAATTATTATCAAAAATTTTAATAAAATTCTTTGCAAAAATTCAATTATTTTTTAAACTTTTAATAAATCCTTCGAAACAATTCAATTATAATTTATAAATAATAAAATGCTTTGCAAAAATTCAATTATTTTTTAAACTTTTAATAAATCCTTCGAAACAATTCAATTATAATTTATAAATAATAAAATGCTTTGCAAAAATTCAATTATTTTCAAATAAATTCTACGAAAGAATTTATTTTTTTTTTCTTAATTCGTTATAAAATTTTTCAAAAGAATTTTCAAAAATTGTAATAAAATTTAATAATTAAATGTTTAATTTCAATTATTAACAAACATGATTATTTTATAAACTTGTAAGAAATTGTTCATAAAATTCAATTACTTTTAAAATTTTTAATTAAAATTTTTAAAGAAACTCCATTATTTAAAAAAGAAATTCAAATAAATTCTTCAAAAACAGTTTAATTAGAATTATCGAAAATTTTAACATATTTCTTGTCAAGAATTCAATTATTTTCCTAAATATTAAAATTCTTCGAAGAAATTCTATGATTATCAAATTTTTTGCAACAATTCGATGATTTTCAACAAATTAGTTTTAAAAATGGAAATTATTTAAAAAGAAAAATTATTAAAAAAAAGTTAGGAAACAAAAAAGCGAAAAATTTTAAAAACTCCAAATTGCGAACAGATTACCGGAATACTATTAATTATAGATTTTTTTAAATAATTGAATTCTTTTAAAAAATTTTATTGAAATAGTAGATATTGACAATCATTGAATTCAGGAAATTTTTTGAAAATATATAAAATTTTGACAAAATTTTTATTACAATTTTTGAAAATAATTGAAATTTTGCCAAAAATTTTATTATAATTTTTGAAAATAATTGTTTTGTAGAGAAGAATTTTATTATTTATAAAGATAATTGAAATTTTGACGGACTGTTTTTAAATTTTTGAGCAACTACTTTTAAATTCAATTAATTTTGAAATAGTTAAGTAAAATTATTCATTAAATAATTTATTTATTTTATGATAGTTGTTCAAGATTTAAGTTTTTAAAAAAGAAATTTTTGTCAGAAATAGAAAAAAATTGAAGGTTTTGTATTAGAATTCGTGGTAATTTCTAAGTTTTATGAGGCAAACAAAAAAGACCAAAATTCAAAATTTTATACTGTTAATCGTGAGGCTTGGAAAATTAGGAAATTATTTTCATACCGAGATCAGCATATTTCACTTTGCAGAAAGCTCGACGTCCACCAAAACATAAATCGTATCGTGGTAAGGAAGGATTTTCATTACCGCGTTCAACAGCTTTGTAAGCGTCGCTTTTATAAGCGAATGTAACGAAACCGTAATTATCACTGCAAAAAAAAAAAAAATACATCCAAATTTAATAAAAATTAAATTTCTATCATAATTATTAATTAAACAAGACTTTCTCATTTTTGATGAGAATGTAAAAAATATCAAAATTTTAATTTAAAAATCATAAGGAAATAATTTGTCTAATTTTTCTCACAAAAAGTAATAAATATTTCATTAACTTGAAAAGAAAAAATCTCACCCATGCTCTCGAAAATGAACACTGATATCAACAACAGGACCAAAAGTTTCGAATCTTCTCCTCAGGTCAGCTTTCGTTATTCCCTCCTCAAGTCTTCCAACGTAAATCACTCTTCGCTCCTCGACTTGTCTCTGCTTTTCTCTATCGTACCAACCGTCGTATGGTCTTTTATACGAACGAGAAGTTGATCTAAAAAAATATTTCTCTTTCAAAAAAATTGTTTTCTTTTCGAACAATTGATTTTCTTCGAAAACAGAAAAAAAGTTAACAAAACATGTCAACAAAATAATGTTAATAATTTGTTAATTACTCATAACATTTAACATGTTAATTTTCGCAAATTACATCAATTCTATTGAACCTACCAAACATTTATGTTTACAGGTCAATTTTTTCTCTCCGTAAAAAATAAATATTCATTCAATTTTTTTAAATTAATTTCCTTATTTTGAAAAGTAGTCGCAAAATCAGTTTGTGTTATTAAATTATTAATTTAATGTTTATTAAATATTTGGGTGTTAAATTTTTAGTGTGGAAAAAATTGATTAATATTACATAGTTCGTATTGAATATGAATAGAAAATTTCTATATTGATTTTGATTAGTTTTTACAGAAAAAAACAAACAATTCTTTGTTATTTCAAAAATTATTCAGTATTTTAAAATCATTAATTAGGAATACAATTAATTATATTAAAATTTTCTTTTAATCACGTAAAACATAATTTTATTTCAATCAAAAATTAATTTTATTTCCGTTAAATTCTATTTACTTAAAATTTTTATTTGCGTTAAACTTTAATTTTATTGCAATTAAAATTTTATTTTATTTCCCTATAAAATTTAATTTTACTTAAGTTACAATTTAATTTTAATTAAATTGAAATTGAAATTTACTTAAGTTAAAATTTAATTTTAATTAAATAGAAATTTAGTTAAGTTGAAATTTAATTTTAATTTAGTTGGAATTCTTTTAATTAAGTTAAAATTAAATTTTAATTCAGTACAAATTACATTTTACTGAAATTAAATTTTAATTTAGTTTAAATTCAATTTTATTGAAACTAGAATCCAATTTTAATTTGAAATATTAATTTAAAAAAATGAGTGTGACAAAAATATTTCGGAAAGGAAAAATGTTGCTTTAAAATAAGATGGAATATATTTTTTTTTGCAACTGTAAACATATTGTTTTACCTCCTCAAATTTCTGTTGTCGTTACTACTCCCAGAGGAGCGACGCCTGTTCCTATCATAACTTTGCTTCCGCTCGCGGTTTTCCCATCTTCGTCGACCTGACCATCTACTCCTTGTGAAAATAGAGCGAGACGACAACCTATAATCACGCGATATCTCCGAAACTTAAATCCCTCGAAAATAATCGGAAAAAAAACTTAAAACAAAAAATAATAATAATTGCGAAACCCGCACTTTCACTAATTTCTTATCATTCCACTCTTGTACCTTTTAAATTATTCGTCTAACGATTTTATTCGTCTAAATATATTTTAGTTTATTTTTTGTATTTATCTGATAAAATTTATTTAATTTAATTAGATTGATAAAAAAATAAACTAAAATATAACTACAATAAGATAATTAATAAAGAAGCTAAAATAAATAATGAGGTGGAAAAAAAATTAGCTAAAAACAAATATTAAGATAAATAAAAAATTAGCTAAAATAAATAATCGAAATAAAATTCAATTATTAAAATTGAAAAAGAAGAAAAAGGAAACTGAAGTCGAAATTTACCTGGAGCAACTGGAGAATCGTGACGATGATCTCGATCTCGATCTGGATCTCAGTCTCGATTTCGATCGGGATCGTGACCTTGACCTTGATATCGATCTTGATCGGGAGAATCTCGGCGAACGTGAACGTGATCGCGATGATCTTGTTCTAAAACTAGACGATGATTTTGTATATGATCGTGATGACCAACTGCTACTGGAACTAACTGAACTGCGACGATGACTTATTCGTCGACGACGTTCCGGCGTTCGTCGACAAGATCTACTCTTGCTTCGGCTACGATTGCGATTTCTATTTCGGCTCCTAATTCGACTTCTACTTCGACTTCGGCTTCTTGATAATGAGCGACTTGACTCTGACGATCCTCTTCTCCTGTAATTTCTCACTCTTTTCCCAGTTGGTCTGATCCTGAAATTTTAACACAAAATTACTTATTACGATAAGAATATTCTCTTCACATGAAACGTTATTTTTATTTTTAATTTATCTTCATCAGGGTTGCCACAAAAATTTAATTTTGTTTTTCCCTGAATTACAGACAAATTTTTTTCTTTTTCCCTGATGCTAAAGAATATTCTGATTGACTCTAAAAATTATTAGATATTCTATTACATTTATTTACGAATTTCTTTAATTGGAAAATTATTCGAAAACATCAATACTTCTTTCTTAAATAAATATTTAATAATTATTTTTACATAGGAATTAAAATTCTTCAAAAGATTTAATTTTAATTTAAAACCTTTTAACTGAAATTCATTTTTAAATCAATTTTTATTAGAATATTCGACGAGAATTCAATTATTTAAATACAAAAATAAATAATTTATTGAATAATATTTAATTTTTCTTAAAACTGAATTCTCATAAAGAATTTTATCAAGAAATTTTTAAATAATTGAATTCTTTTCACGAATTTTAATAAAATTTTTAATACATTTTTTGAAGAATTCGATTAAAATTGTATTAAAAATAATTGAATTACTAAAAAGAATTTTATTATTTATGAATATAATTGAATTATTGCAAGAAAATTTATGAAAAATTTGTAAATAATTGAATTCCTGTAAAATGTTTATTATTTTTGAAAATAATTCAATCTTTGAGTAGAAGTTTATTAAAATTATTTTTAAATAATTGAATTCTTTTGGAAATTTTATTAAAATAGTAGATATTGAAAATTATTAAATTGAGGAAAATTTTTTAAAAAATTTTCATTATTTTTAAAAATAATTAAATGTTTGCGTAGAAGTTTATTAAAAAGATTTTTAAAATAATTGAATTCTTTTGGAAAATTTTATTAATATTGTAGATATTAAAAAATATTGAATACAGGAAAATTTTTGAAAATTATTGAATTTCGTCTAAGAATTTTATTATTTATCAAAATAATTGAAATTTTTATGAGAATTTAAAAAAATTTGTAAACATAATTGAATTTCTGCGCAGACTTTTATTATTTTTAAAAATAATTGAATTTATGCAATAATTTACAATTTCTCAAAAATTAAATTTTTCTTTATAGTTTTTAACTAAAATTATTCTGTAAATCAGTTATTTTTAATAACTAAAAAAATATATATTAAAAACTGTAAGTAATTAAAGAAGAATTTAAATTATTATTAATTATTATTCTTCTAAAAATCCATTATTTTTAATAATTAATTAAATATGAAAAATTAAAAAATTTAACTAATTTTAGAAGAATTTGAATTATTTAAATTTTTCAAAAAACTAAGTTCTTTTGAAAATTTCTAATTAAATTCATTAAAAATTGAAATTTTATAAAAATTCAAATTAAAATCTTTTGAAGTTCATCTATTTATGAAAATTGTAAACGTAACTCCTTTAAAATTCAATAATTTTTTAAATATTTAAGTAAAATTATTCATTAAATAAATTGTAAATAATAATTTTGATATTTGTTTAAGAATTAAGTTCTTTAGAAAGAAATTATTGGCAGAAATAGAAAAAAAAAGGTTTTGCATTAGAATTTGATTATAAAAATAGTGAAAACTTGCCTTTCGTCTATGTCCTTCGCACCACTCGATTCACTCTTTCCATTAGTGACAGAACTGATTTTTTTGGCATTATTTGTTCTTTCGATGGATTTACTTCGTTCTGTAGATTTATCCCGAGATTTACTTCTATCAGGAACTGATTTATTCTCAAGTTTTTGACTCGAATTTTGATCCATTATTCGCTTACTCTCCGGTGATGATTTATTATCCAATTGTTTATTAGCCAATTGTTTATAATCGAATTGCTTATCCGATTGTTTATTATCCGATTGTTTGTTATCCGAGTGTTTATTATCCAATTGTTTGTTATCCAATAGTTTCTTCTCCAATTGTTTATTATCCATTAGTTTTTTCTCCAATTGTTTATTATCCATTAGTTTTTTCTCCAATTGTTTATTATCCAATAGTTTTTTATCTAATTGTTTATTATCCATTGTTTTTTTATCCAACTGTTTATTATCACCTCTACTCTCCGGTGATTTATTTTCAACCAATTTCTCATCAATTTGTCCCTTGTTTTCCAATTTTTCTTGTCGCTTACTTTCCATTTGGGATTTACCATCAATATTTTGCTTACTTTCAATTTTAATTTCTATTTTTCGCTTATTATCATTCGCTGTTTTAACGTCAATTTGTCGACGATTATCATTTTTATTTTCAGTTTGCGATCGTTTATTATCGACTGAACGATTAACGATTGAACGTTTATCGGATCTATTATCAATTGATCGTTTGACGTAATTCTCGGCTTTCTTTGAATTAATTGATGCTGCTTCGAAATTTGATCTTGGCGTTTGATTGAAGACAGTTTCGTTTGTTTGAATTGAAGCGTCACGTACCGATGGTTTTGCTTCGACTTTAATTTCTTCAATTTCCGATTTTGGCTTTAGAATTGAAACAATTTCGCGCTCGGACCAAATGACATTGTCGTGATCGGTTTGAATTGGATGCGTTGTGGTTGATGCGTGATAAATATAGACGAGAGTCATTGGTTGAATTGGCGAATTTGTACGACTATTGTCGCTGCGATTTTGTTCGCGTCTACTTCTATATTCGGCGAGATTTAATTTTTTACGCGGTGGTGGTAATTTTTTATCGTTCTCCTGCGCTTCGATTGGTTGCGTTTGAACGATAATGTTTTGTACTTCGTTATTTAAACTGTTTGTTGTGGTGACAATACTTTCATTTGGTTTATTGCAAATGAGAGTTTGTGATGGTTGGGGTGGTTTCTTGAGTACGGAGATCATCTTTTGGGGTCCGTCGATTGGTTTTGTTTTGGTGATGACTCCCTTTCGAGTTTGTAATATACTGGTTGCTACTGTGGGTCGAACTTTCATTTCCGGGAAAGATTTTTTCACTGTGGCAATTGTGGTAGTTTCCTTGAAGGTTTTGTTGTTTTCCTTGAATGGCGATTGTTTGTTGTCAACAATTTGAGCAATTTCGACTTTCTTCAGGGAAAATTGCTTTTTCTTGATTTTCTCTGATTCTTTTGAATCAGAGGGAGCATTAATCTTTTCCTCACGTACATTATTTTGTTTTGTGGATTCCAAGCAATTGTTTGGTTTCTTCAAAATCGTATCGACAGCTAAAACGCTAGTTACCTTATCGTTTGAAACTTGTTTTTGTGGTTCAAGTTTTGTAATTTTTTTCGAAATCTTCTTCACTTTTTGTTTGCCGGAAGTTTTGCTCTTTGAATTTATTGCGTTTCCATTACTGCAATAATCGTGATCCAACTGAACTGATCCTTCCGGACTGCTATTTTTGTTTGTCGTTTGCTGAAGGAAATAATTTATTTTTAATAAAATATTTAATATTTTAAAATTTTTTACTTTATAATTTCAAATACTTTTTCTTCTTTTCTAAATTGTACTTTTTACTAAATATTTATTATTATTTATTTTTGACTAAACTGTAAATCAATTGATTAAGAAATTAATTAATTAATTCAAGCCACAAGAATTTAATTTTGTTTTACCCTGACATTTCCCTGATTTCCAGTCAAAATTTTAACTTTTTTGCTGATCCTGAAAAATATTCAAACCTTCTGAAATTCAATAACGTATGATTTAAATCCTTTTCGAAATTCAATTATTTCTAAAAATCCACGCTATAATGTTATTAATATTCAATTAAAATTTAAAATTTTAAGTGAAATTCATTTTTTAATCAATTTTTATTAGAAAATTTTTCAAGAATTCTATGATTTAAATAGAAAGATAAATAATTTATTAAATAATTGAATATTTCTTCAAATTAAATTTTTATGAAGAATTTTATCAAAATTTTTAAAATTAAATGCAATTGAATTTCTAAGAATTTTTTAAAACTTTTTGAAAATAATTAAATTCCATCGAGAAATTTCATTAAAAAATTGAAAATAATTGAAATCTAACGAAGAATTTAATTAAATTTTTCTTAAATAATTGAATTCCTGTGAAAAATTTTAGTTTTAAAAAGAATTGAATTCTTGGGAAGAATTTTATTTTTGAAAAAAATTGCAATTTTATTAACTAAATTTTGTAAAAGAATTTTGTCAAAATTTCATTAAATAATAGAATTTTTTAAACAATTTTATTTAAATTTTTCGAAATAATTATTTATGAAAATAATTGAATCATTGCGAAAAAGTTTATAAAAAACTTGCAAATAATTGAATTCCTGGAAAATGTTTATTATTTATAAAAGTAATAAAATGTTTGCGTAGAATTTTAATGAAAATTTTTCTAAATAATTAAATCGTTTTGGAAAATTTTATTAAAATAATAAATGTTGAAAATCATTGAATTGACGAAAATTTTTGAAAATAATTGAAATTTTGCCAAGATTTTTATTAAATTTGTTGAAAATAATTAAATTTCGGAGAAGAATTTTACGATTTATAAAGATAATTGAAATTTTGACTAGAATTTAAAAAAATTTTGAACATAATTGAATTTCAGGGTGTCTACTATTTTCGTTTAACAAAATTCCCGGTTATTTCCCGGTTTTTCCCGGCTATATCCTAATTTTTTCCCGGTTTTTTTTCTTATCAAATTTAAATTTAAATTTGATTTCAAACATAAATAAATCATTAAATTTTTTGAAAATAATGTTTTTTTCAGTAATTTTAATTAAAAACTTGGAAAATACTTGAATTAAACAAAGAATTTTTTCAAGTTTTTAAAAATAATCTTGTCTCTTTATAATTATAATTGAAAATTGGATTTTTCAATTTTATTAAAATTACATTGATAATAATTGAACTTCTGCAAAGAATTTTACTATTTATAAAAATAATTGAATCCTTCCAAAGAATGCTATTATTTATGAAAATAATTTAATTCTTGTGAAGAATTTTATTAAAATTTTTGAAAATAATAAGCAGCAATAATTAATTCTTTACTTAATATGTAATAAACATTTAATTTGCTCAAGAAATAAATAAATATCATTTATTTGAACATTCAGAAATTTGAAATGATAAAAATTTAAGAGAAGTTTAATAATTATAATTATTAAATAATAATAGAATAGTATAATTTTTAGAAGCAAAAAATTGATTTAAAACTGTAAGAGGGACTTTAAATTTTAAAAATAAAATTATAATTATGGTCACTAACTTCCCTTGATTATTTTCGAAAAATTTAAATAAAATTCTTTAAAAGAATTCAATTATTTTTCAAAAAAAGTAAAAAAATTTCAATGATTTGTTTAGAAAAATTCAATTATCTTGAAACAATAGAATTGAAAAATTACAACAATTTTATTTTTTAGACAAAAAAAATTTTGCGAAAGTTTAATTTTATTAAACAATTTTAAGTATGTATATTTTTTTAAAATAACTAATAAAAATTTTAATTATTAATCTTCGGAGTAAGAAACATGAATACATTAGAATTTTACTCTTTATAATATTCAATTATTAATCAATTATTAAATTAAAATACTTTGAAAATTCTATTTGTTAAAAAGTTTCTAATGAATTTCTTTAACAAATTTAATTACATATTTTCAGTCGAATTTCACAATATTTCTATTAACTCCATAATTTTTTTTAAATTTATTTACATAATATATTTGAATTGGTAACTGATTTTTTATCATCAAATTAATTATTTTTAAGTAACTTAAATTTAGAGAACAGTATAAATATCTATAAAAATTGAAATAAAAATTGATTTTTTAAAAACAAATTAAAATAATAAAACTTTTTTAATTTTTGTGAAAAAATTCCCGGTTCGGTATAAAATTCCCGGCTAATTCCCGGTTTTTCCCGGTCAAATAAAATTCCCGGTTATTTCCCGGTTTTCCCGGAATTCCCGGTTAGTAGACACCCTGAATTTAAGCGAAGAAGTTTATCAATTTTGAAAATAATTGAATTTCTGTAATCAGTTCTTCTTAAAATTTCTATTAAAAATTTTAAATTAATTAAATTAATCCCCCTGACCAATTCTAATTTCCCTGACTTTTCCCTGAATTCCCTGACTTGTGGCAACCCTGTAATTGGAAAATTAAATTCTAAATTAATAAATAGTACTTTTTAGTGAATAAATTTTAGAGAGAATAATTTTTTGTTCACTAAAGGTAAGGAAAAAATTCCTTCCCTTCGACGAAAAAGCGTTGCCAATAATTTTAGTTGATTGATTGTTTAAAAAAATAGTTGACTTACTATTTTCAATTGTTTATTCCGAGTGGGTGCAGCATCCTGCATTTTTGTTCCTTTGCAACGAACGCCAACTTTCTTCTCTGGCAGTGCTGGTATGACTGATATAGGTTTCTTGCGATTTGAAGCCTGTTATATAACAACACTTATTCTCAATAAAGTTTCTAGTGTTCAAATTTTTTTCTACAACTATTTTTCAAAAAAAAATCATTTTTTCTCTTAAATAAAAAGATTGAAAATTATTTATTTGGAAAAATAGAGAAGTTTCGATTTTTAAAATATAATAAGTAAAAGAAAAGCAAGAAAAAAAGAAAAACAAAAGAAAGAAAAAAGAGCAATTGAAAGAAAAATAAAAAATATTCTTTAGCATTTTGAAATTATTTCCTACCTTCGATGAAAAATTATCGAATTTAATTCTTTCATTGTCTTTAAATATTTTTCAAAAATTTTCAAGCTTTTTCATTTTAATTTCCATTTCATTTTTCATTTTCCTCCAGTTTAAAATTTCAATTTCAAGAATTCAAATTAAAAATTAGAAAAAATTTCTAATTACCTGTATCCTATCGATGACTTCTTTGGGCAATGTTTTCTTAACATCACGTTGAGGGTTTTCTTGAATTTTCACGGGTTTCTTTGGAACAGGCTCGATAATTTTAGTTTTCTTTTCGGATTTTCGTTTCTTCGTGGGGGGAATTTCAACATCTTCTTCTTTAGTACTTGAAATTTCTCTTTTCTTCTTTTTCTTCGTTTCCTCCTGCAACGGTTCTTTAGTCTCATCATTCTTTGTCGAAGTTTCCGGTGGTTTTTCCGAAGCTTCGAACTGTTCAAGAAGATCGGTGACGTCTCCGGCTTCTAAAACTAAATAATTACAATAATTAAAAAATATCCTCTCGATTATTACACAAAATATTACAATATTAGAAAAGAACTTTATGAACTTTAATCATTTTTTCACATTATTAACTTCAATCTCGAATTCAATAGAAAATCGAATTACCTGACGAAGTTTCAATTAGATCCATATCATTCAGAAACCAGTTTTCTTCATCTAAATCGTCGTCACAATGAATTTCCTTCTTTACTTCTTTCTTGATCTTCTGATTATTTACATTTTTTCGAATCTTTTTCTTAACTTCGACAGTCTCTTTAGTTTCTTCTTTAGTTTCGTCAATGGAACAGTCAAGTGCACTACTGCCACTTGCTTCTAAATCGTTGACTAAATCTAAAGACGCCTTTAAACTATCATCATCTGAATCGATGATTGAAGGAAACAAAAAATGAAATATTATTTTCAGATTAATTTTCACCGCATCAGCGATAGATTTTTAAGATGAATAAAATTTCTTCTGAACTTATTAATACTTGATTAAAAACTAAGTTTTTAATAGTTAATAGTTCTTTTTTTAAATTAAGAAACAAAAGTAATAAATTACTTAGAAAGAAAGAAAAGCAAGCAAGAAAATAAATATTTTAGAAGAAAAATTATTTGGTAAATTTTGCATTTTTGCCTACCAAGAATTTTTTTTTCCGATTTTGATGGAGGATGAAAATCGTCATCAAATATGTTCTCGGGAAGAACGGGATATCTTGACGATGGACGATCAATGTCCAACAAATTCATTCGTTCCTCAAATTCGCATGTCTGCCAATTAATAATGTACAAAAATTTTAAAAAATTGAAAGAAAAATGTGAATTATCCTTTTCACATTGCTAGAGTTAAAACTGACCTCTAAAAAGCCCAAATGCTCTTGCCAATCATTGAGAACTTTAGCGAAATCTTCGCTTAAACATTCCATTTTTGGATAGACGGAGGCAACTCCAGAAACTGGTAATACAGCCATATCACCATTGAGTCTATAGGAAATAATTATTATTTCATTAAACAAAGAATTTTTTTAATTTAATTTGTTTTTCTTTTTTTTATATTTTTTTCTTTTTTTCAATTTTTTGAATAACATTTATTTAAACATTTTATTTTCGGAATTATTTTCATAAACGAATTTAGCAGCAAAATTTAGGAATAAAAACAATTTTCAGTTATTTAATAATTTAGTTTTAATAAAAATTACTTTCTCATTATTTATGAGAGTGTAAAGGAATAGAAAAAACACAACTTACTCCTGTTCGGATCCCCAGGATAAACCACTTGTGTCCAATTGGTTTTCCATGTAATCAAAATCGCTTTCTACGACTTTGAGCAAAGAGCCTTCTTCACATAATGGAGTTGGAAGTGGATTTGGCATAACATAATCGTTCTGTAAAAACAGCTCGAACTACCAAGTTGTTCGTAAAACGACAAGATTAAAACCAGGTTTATAAACACAAAAATTAAATAATAATAATAAAAATAATATAATAATAATACTAATAATAATATTTATAATAATTAAAACATTCTAACAATTAATAATAATAATAATAATAATAAAAGTAATAATAATAATAATAATAATAATAATAATAATAAAAATAATAACAATATTTATTAATGCAAAATAAATAAAACAGTAATAAAAATAGTTATTACAACCATTATCCGGGTTGCCACAGGTCAGGGAATTCAGGAAAAAATCAGGGAAAGTAAAATTAGTCAGGGAAATCAGGGAAAAGTCAGGAATTTTTATTAAAGGTAATAGAAAGAACCAAATTTGAATTTGAAATTTTATAAAATTTTAATAATTCAAATTCTTCTGAAATTAGTTACCTAAACTTTTTGTATTTAATTAATTATTAAAAATAATAGATTTATAGAAGAATTTTAATTAAAAACACTAAAAAATTGAATTTTAAACAAATGATTGCAGAAATTCAATTATTTTCAACAGCAACAAAATTCTTCGTAGAAATTCAAATCTGTTCAAAAATTAAAGAAAATTCTCACAAAAAATACAATTATTTCTTAAAAATTTTCCTCAATTAATTAATTTTCAATATCTACTATTTTAATAAAATTTTCCAAATGAATTCAAATATTTAAAAAAAATTCTAATAAAATCATACGCAAATATTCAATTATTTTCATAAATAATAAAAATTCCATAGGAATTCAATTATTTACAAATATTTTATAAATTTCTTCGCAATAATTCAATTATTTAAAAACATTTAAATAAAATTCATTGCAAGAATTCAATTATTTTTAAAAGTAATAAAATTCTTTGCGAAAATTCAATTCTGTTCAAAAATTTTTTTAAAATTCTCGTCAAAATTTCAATTATTTTTATAAATAATAAAATTCTTCATCAAAATTCAATTATTTTCAAAAATTTTAATAAAATTCTTTGCAAAATTTCAATTATTTTCAAAAATTTTCCTCAATTCAATGATTTTCAATATTTATTATTTTAATAAAATTTTCCAAAAGGATTGAATTATTTAGAAAAATTTTCATTAAAATTCTACGCAAACATTTTATTATTTTTCTAAATAATAAACATTTTCCAGGAATTCAATTATTTGCAAGTTTTTTATAAACTTTTTCGCAATGATTCAATTATTTTCATAAATAATAAAACTCATCGCAGAATTTCAATTATTTTTAATACAATTTTAATTGAATTCTTCGAAAAATGTATAATAAAAATTTTATTAAAATTCGTCAAAAAAATCAATTCTTCAAAAAAAAAAATTCTTTATGAGAATTGAATTTTAAAAAAAGTCAATTATTTAATAACTTATTTTTGTGTATTTAAATAATTGAATCCTCGTAGATTTATTAATGAAAATTGATTTAGAAATGAATTACAGTTAAAATTTCAAATAATAATCGAATTTTTTTTAAATTATTGGAAGTTTTTAATTTTTAATATTTTATTTAATTGAAGAATTTACGATTAATCGAATATTCGTAAAATTGAATTGTAAACAAGATTTGAAAATTCTCAAACAACTTTTTCAAAAGTTATTAAAAATAATTAATTTAAAGAAAAATTTTAGTTAAAAATTTTAGAAAGTAATGTTTGAATTAAAATCATGAAAATAATTTTGAAGAAGTTACAGTAACAATATTTTTATAATATAAAATAATAATTTTTTCACTTTATTTTTAATTATTATAAGTTATTGAATTTCAAAAAGGTTTGAATTTGAATCTTTTGAAGAATTTTAATTCCTATGGAAAAATAATAATGATTAAATATTTATTTAAAAAAGAAGTTATTGATGTTTTCGAATAATTTTACAATTAAAAAAATTCGCAAATAAAAGTATTAAAACATTTTTTTGAGTAGCTAGTAATTTTTAGAGTTAAACATAATATTTTTTAAGTTTAGGGAAAAAGTCAAAATTTTGTCTGGAAATCAGGAAAAAGTCAGGAAAAAAATTCAATTTTTGTGGCAACCCTAATTATTATTATAAAAATAATATAAATAGTAAATTAATTAAAATATACAAAGTGGAATAAAAAAAAATTATATATAAATTGTAAAAGAGAAAGAATACTTTTTTTGGGTGGATAAAAAAAATTGTGAGGAAGGATTATTAGGTGCAAGCATATTTCGTACAATAAATACAAATTTTAATAGTGAATTTCAATCACTAATTAACTGGTGAGAAAAAGAATAATATTAATTACCTGCTCCATAATCGATAATGATGGATAGCGTTGCTGCTCATCACGCATATTTAAATAATCAGTCTCCATCTTCAAGTTTTTTTTTCGACAATTCTTTAAATCTCTAAAATAAAACAAAAATATATTTTAGAATTTGAAAACATTTAAATTCGCATTTTTTATTTTTTTTCTTATTTTTCAATTGATGTTTACGCACACGTAATAATTGTAAAAAAAAAAGAATGTTAGATTTTGTTTCATCTACCAATATTCTGAGTAAATAGAAAATTTTTCCATTGCAAAATTTCAAAATCATAAAATTAAAATTCACAAAAAGGTAAAATGTAATTTTCTATTGTTTGAGAAAATTGAAAAAAGGATCAAGGTAATAAAGTAGGTGACAGGATTTGTTCGACTTTGTAAAAATGGTTTTTCCTAGAATATTATCTAAGCGCAGGTAGTCGGCCGACAGATGCAAATTCGCAGAAAGGTATCAGTCAAAAATGATATTTTATTTGAAAAGCCACGCCCCTTCGAGTTTAACACAAAAGTATTAAGAAACACTTAATATTAATTTTATGAATTGAAAATTTTCTTTTATAAATTACAAAGATGGGCTATTTAGAGACAAAGGATAAGAGGGAAATAAGTTTTAAAAGGTCTGAGAAAAATATGAGTATTTTAAAAATGTCCAACAAAACACAGATTTACAGGAATTTTGCGTCTGATGAAGAAAATAATTTTCTGCAAATAATAATTACATTTGAAGCTAATTAACTCGATTATAAATCATTACGGTTCACATTGTTATTTCATTGCATTACTTTAAAAAGAAAATTAATATAAGTTTGCAATATTAATACTAAATAGAATATTTGTTAATAAATTACTTAAATTGTACAAAATAAATAATAGTTAATTGTTATCAAAATCCATACTAAATCCTAAGTAAACCAAAAAGATGAATAAATATAACTTTATATTAAAATAATAATTTGAAAAAAATGCATTAAAACGATTTAGAAAACAAGTGCAAATAAATCATTTCAACTGCAATAAATATTTACATTTATGAATTTTATTGCAGTGAGAAGCAAAGTGGGAAAAAAACCATTGAGCATGATTTCGTAATAATGCAAATAATTCGAATTTTTTATTCCAATAGTAAACAGAATCCAAACAAGTTTGCATTACAATTGAAGAACAATCAATTCGAGAGAATAATCAACAAATACATAAAGAAACAAGAGCAAAACAGGAATCTCGAAAAAAAGCGCATGTGAGACTTTGAGGTTATGTTCACAATTGCCCAACAAGATTTTGTCCATCAAGCAATGAAAAACAATAAATTTCCCTAAAATACAATCGAGAAACATGCAAATAATAAATATTGACTAAATATTTATATTTGTAAATGAATTTTTATTGCAATTTCATGAGATAACTTACCAAAAAGAATTATTAATTAGTTCTCTGGAGGTTAACAAGCATGCTGACTGTACAATGGTACAGATATGTATCAATGAATATTATACACATGAAACTCACATTAAATCTCAAGTAAGAACTCCTTTTCAATAAAAATCACTCCTAGATTGTCAAATAAACACAATATATACCTTATGTAACGATAGTAAGACAAAAATTGTGATTAACTGTCCTACAATGTGTGTCGCTCACGTAGCACCCACACATATTGTTGCATGACTGAGAAGACTAAACACCAAGAGGTTATTAGATATAACAATAATCCAACATGAAAAATGATGTACCACTTGAAAAGTAATTATTGTACATGTCCAATTATGCACTTTGTTAATGACATGTCAAACTACACTTGTCTCCAAATAAAAGCGTTATTTTTATACACGTGTTTCGGTGACGGTCACATTTTTACACTGGCCATTATCGACAAACAGTAGCAACAACATGGCAATACATTCACAAAATTCATAAATAATTAAACAACTAAATTCACTTTGATAATTATTTTTTCAATTAACACGCGATTTTTAATGAATAAAATATTAATTTTCGCCACATAACACTTTCCCGGTTGGTTATGGACCCAACATTCATCCGGTATAACCATTGAATACCTGCGAGAGACAAGATGACCATCCTCCCTACTTAAAAGTGTCATCACTTGACGACTGTAACCACCAATGAAGGGAGGGGAAATCAGCCAATCAGATTGCACTATAATTTCTCTTGTTCCGCCTATTTTTGCAATTTTTCAAAGATGTCATCACTTAATTAATTGTTGAAGTTAATCACATTATTTATTTGTAAGTTTTACATACTTAAAAGGTATTTCTTAATAACGTTTTACTTTTATTTTTCTCATTTTTGAATTTCGGAAGGAAATTGCAAATTCGCAGAACGCACGCGCGCCGTATTTGAATATTAGAAGTTTTTTTATCAAGTGAATGGATGGAATAGACTAAAAGTTTGAGTCACAAGTAAAAAGAGGTGTAATAAGTTTACATTATATTAATGATTATAACAGTAATGATTATTATAGTAAATTCTGTTTTATTGTTAACTTTTTTTTTAATATTTGCTTCTGATATGGAAGCGCACATGCGCATGTTTTAGCCGCGAAACATTGCAAAATCAATATGGCTTCCGAATAATTATTACAACCGGTAAACAATATTGTCGATAATAAAAATTCTCCTTTAATTGTGCCCAGTAATCTTTTGTTATAATCAAAACATCATGATTGTGCAGTGATTTAGGTAAGTATTGTTTATATTTCATTATTTTTTGTCAATTTCATAAAAATTAGCGGTTGAAATATTTTCATAGACACTTTTTTTTATCTTGTCTAAAGAATAATGTAAACACTGGCTCATTATCTTATTATTCTCATTCATACAAACGTAATTTGAATATTAGTCTATTTTTAAAATTATATTTCATTATTAGCACGATTAGCTCATGCTTTTATGTTATCAGTATAATTTTATCAAAGAATTTGGAAATTATAATAACATACATAACCTCAAATAAAAATGGCGGTATCTTTTCGGAAAAATAAATAAATAGAATTTTGCCTTCAATGTTTTTGCTAAAACTTGTTGAGTTTATTTTATACATAACAGTATTTATTATAATTTTGAATATAAATTTTAAAAATAATACTAATAACTACTTCGTTTATGCAAATATTTTTTTAACAAAATTGTTAAAATTTATTATTTTTAAATAATGGGAATTATGTTCTTTTTTCAGCAATTTATCATGCACAGTGAAAAGAAAATATTAAATATTATCTCGAAATTGCAAGTTATTCTTAAAAATGAATATCCTGCGGTTCAAAGTATTTTCAAGAATCTGGTAATTAAATTTTCAAATCAGTTTTTTTGAAATTGTGAAAAGTGTGTTTATTTTTTTTAACAACTAAGGAAAATGTTAAAATAAAAAAAACTTTTTTGATTTAATGAATTTTATTTTCTTATTTACTTGTTTATTTCAGAAAAAAAAGGAAGACATCAAATATGCAATTCAGTCAATCAGTTCTTTTAGAAAGATAAAAAATGTAATGCAACTTATTCGAGATGAAAGAATTCTTGAAATACAAGAAGGAAGAGATCTATTGGTCTATCTTCTAACGATTGGAGATGACTGGACAATGGTAACTAATTTAATTGTTATTAAAATTACTTATTTGTCAAATTTATTACATTAATTTGTTTTATTGCATTTATTTTGTTCTTACTACATACATTTAAATTAATATTTTTTTATTAAAAATTTTCCAGGGAATTTATAATAATATTCGAGTGTCACTCGAAACTGCAGATGTTAATCGTGTGAAAATTTACGCAACGATATTTATGAAAGCCTGGCAAGAAGCAAATGAGAGCAAAGAAATTATCGAGACATGTTTGGAAAATTTAATTTATCACTGTCTACGCACCAAAAGAAAAAATAACGAAAGAGAAAAATTGGGACAAAATTTATTAACATTTCTCGAATGTTTTCATATTCAAAAAAATGTTCCCTTGAAGCAAATGGTTTGCGATTATTATCATCAATTTCTATGGACATATTTAGAGGTAATATTTAAATAAATAAAATTTTAACAGTTAGTTTATTATCTAGCTATTATTATTGTTTATTATTTTTCGAAAATTTTAATAAAATTTTTAGCAAGAATTTAATTATTCTCATAAATAACAAAATTCTTTAGATCATTTCGATTATTTTCAATACAATTTTAATAAAATTTCTCAAAAGAATACAATTATTTTTAAAAATATTATTTAAATTCTATTATTTTCAAGAGTTTTTAATAAAAATTCAATTATTTTCAACAATTCTTCGAAAAAATTCAATTATTTTAAAGAATTTTAATAAAAATCTTTTCAAGAATTCAATTATTTTCAATACAATTTTAATTACATTTTCTCGAAAGAATTCAATTATTGAAAAAAAATGTTGATAAAATTCTCGAAATAAATTCAATTATTTTCAAATTTTTTTATAGATTGAAAGAATTCAATGATTTTTAATACATTAATTTTAAAATTATTGAAAATTGAAAAGAAAAATAATATTAATATAGATTATGTTATTATATTTAATTACAATTGATTAATTTTAATTTTTATTTAAGGCTCCGGGATCTTGTGTAAAGTGCAATACGGCAGAAGTTCTTTTCGTCGCATATCCAATGAATTTAAGCAATAAACTAAAAAACAACAATTATGAATTGAAAAGTAATAAATATTTACATAAGCAGCACAAGGCAATAACAAATATCCTGCGAGATTCGAATAGTAATGTTCGTGCTATTGCTCTAAAGGTATAAATAAAAAAATCCTTCTCGAAAATCAAACTTAGTTTTAATAATTATTTTAAACAGGATTTAGTAATAGAAAAACTAAATCACAATTTAGTAAAAATAATTCCAATTTGGAAAATTATTTTGCAGTTAAATTAATAATTCAATTTTTATTCTAGGGCGTATTTCAAGTGTTAGAGAAGTTTTGGACCACAGTACCGAAAGAAACAGTAGATTTATGGTTAAGACTCGCAATAGAATACAAAGAAACTTCTAATAATCCAGAAATAAGAAAAAGTGTTTTTCAAGGTTTCAAGTCACTCCTGAAAAATTCGAAAAGTCATTTAATTTTAGAAAAGAAGATACCAAATTTTCTCAACAGTTTGTACGATACAAATGACGATGTTAAATTGTCAGTACTCGATCTCTTCTTGGAAATGGAAAATTGTACAAATATCGAAATTTCAAATTCAGTGCCCTTAAAAATTATCGTACATTGTCTAGAGGTGAGTGAGGAAAAAAATTACTAATTAAAATATTAAAATTATTTTTTTATATTAAAATTACTAATTTTTCTTTTTCGATAAATTTCAGATGAATTCTCATACGGAAGTGGTGAGTTCATTGCACAAATTACTATGGATTAGAATTTCTTTCTCTAAAATCGAGGGAAGAATTCTTAACGAAATAATCGATTGTGGACAATTAAATCTTATCGAATTTCGAAAATTTCTTCTACAATCAAACGATATAATTTGCCATGAAAATGCAGTGGAAATTTTAAATTTGTTATTACCGGAAATATCACGTTTAACGGAATTATTAAACGAGGCGGAAGGTGATATGGAAGACGAGTTAAACGAGACAGTAAGGAAAAAATCCCGTGGCAAGTAATTCGTTATCAAATTTATTTTTTCAATTTTATATTTCTTTATAGAGAAAGGATTGTTTTTTTATATTTCCTTCATTTTTCATTGTTTGGAAAATTTCCTTTTTTAATTTTTAATTTTGTTCCTTTCAGGAGAAAAGAGTGAACAATTACTAGAAAGAGATGTCAGTAAATTAACAGCAATTCAAATTTTAATTGATGCAAGTGCTCTTTTTTATCTAATAAATAGAGAAAAGCTCGCAAAAAATGTCTATCAAAAATTAAATAATGATATCATAGAAAAAATGAGGAATATTTTAGAAAAATTTCAGGTGAGAAAATATTCATTAAGGGCTTCTTTTTTTACTCACAATTTCTTGAATTTAAAAGAAAAAACTTTTTTCAGGATTCTGAACTAAGTGAGTTGGCTATATTTTTTCTATCCTTGATGCCTAGAAAATTAATCAAAAATATTGGAAAATTTCTACAAAAGTATAAGAGAAAGATTTTCCAAGAAAACTTGTCTGATAATATGTTATCATCAATTTTACATTTATTCTTCAAATGGAACGAAATCGATTTTCTATTTGAATTGTTGCCGTTCCTTCTAACACCAGACGGAGAGTTACCTCTAGAAATGGTTAGTTAAAAATTTTATACTTATTATTTTAATAGTAAACGTAATTTATTTTATTTAAATATTAAATTCAGATATTAAATTTAAATAGTAAATTTAAATATTAAATTTAAATATTTAAATATTAAATTTAACAGTAACAATAAATTTTTATTTAGATTTTTAATTATATTTCCATTTATTTTCTAACAAAAAGAAAGAATAATAAATACTTTACATTTCAGGCATCTTTCGTAGGAAATGTACCCAAGAGTGATTTGGGTCTCAAATTACTGGAGATTATTCTTGACAGTAATTTTTTGTGCAATTATTTACCAGAGTATTATACAAAAATTATTAATTTGTGGGAAAATTTATATTTTCTCGAGAAATCTATAGAAATTCGTTTAGGAAACAATTTTTCACATTCATTATCGGATAGTGTTTTAAAAACAAGTTTCAAACACTACGTGTCCTTAATTCCAAAACTTGATTCCGAGAATTTCCAATCAGAAATACATTTTTCACGGATTATTGTCTGGACACGAGAGTATGTATACTTTTCAATTTATTTCTTTTAAATCTAAATTTTTTTTTCATTATAACATTTTTTTCTTTTATTATAAAATTATTTACTTTCTCTATTTTAGAATAATTCTTCCACACATATCGTATTTAAATGATCTCGAACTTGATGATTTTGGAATAAATTTATTGAAATCTGTATTAAACACCAGCAATAATCTGATAATTGAATTGAAAGCTTCACCAAAATTATGTTGTGAAATTATAATTTTATACAGTAAATGCCTGATGGAAAAATGTGGCATTATATTTGTAAAGTTTGCTCTAGTCACTATATTAGCTTTAATGAAATTCAGTTCGAAAATGTTCAAAAATGATGAATCAAAATTATTAAAGACTCTTGTGCCGTCTCTTTTTGTAGCTGTGATGGTAACATTGACGAAATATTCTGAAACTGTGATAAAAACGCACACAGCGGTAAGTTTAAAATTAATTATTAATCTATTATTTTCACTAATTTAAACGAATTGAAAATAAAATTTTCAATTCAAAAATGAAAATTAATTTCTTAGTTAAAATAGTTAGAATTATGTGATAATGAAAATTTTTATTTTTTAGAATTTGGAGTCTCTTGGGGACTTGGTGAAAAATATTTTTCCACTATTGAGTGAATCGCTGGATTTACGCATGAGATACATGTCGATTATTTTCAATACGGCTGTATTTTGCCTAAGTAAAGATTTGAAAAAACTTTTGAACAATGAGCAAATTTTTTCACCAGAAAATACGCTCAATCAAGAGTTTTCCTTTGTCACGAAGGAAATAATGAAAATTATTTCTCACGTCGAAGAATTCGATGATTTGTGTATTAATATTTTGAATAGGAATTTTTCCAAATATAATATAGTAAGTAAAGAACTTTATTTACCTGAAAATATAAAATTAAATAATTCAAATAGAATTAAATAATAGAAACAAATATAATTAAATAATATAAATAAATAAATTTTAAAATAGGTGGATCAATTGTCATCGTTAATGTTTGTTCAAAGACTAATTAAGCAGAGGAAAAAATCGACCATAAAGAGTCGGAAAAAAATAAATACAATCGTGAGTTTGATAAAAGAACAAAATGACAAATTCAGTGAGACAATTTCAACGTCATATGATCGGTATGTAAAATTTATAATTATCCTAAATTTTTTAACACAATTTTATTAAATTCTCTCATTATTTCTTTACTACTTTCTCTATTTATTCGGAAATCAATTTTATATGAATTTTTCTTTATCTGGATAATTCTTATTTTTCAGATTTATTAGTGACTCGAAAAAACTGATAATCGAGAAATTAATGTCTTGATATTTCGAGACTCCGAGTGAGGAAAAAATGTTGATTGTTTAAAATTATTTAATAATTGAAAACAAGATATTTCCTCTATGAGGAAAAAAAAGAACTGAAAAGTAACATTTTCGAATTGTAAAGAATTTTCTACGAATTTTTATAATACTTGTGGAAATTCCTCAATTAAAAATTGTCGAATTTTTACATTTCTATTGTACAGTATTAGCTCTATGGATATATTTTAATATATAAAAGAGAAGCTATCGAGAAAAAAAGAAATCTACGGATGTTAAAAATTCCATGTTTACAATGTTGTTGATTGAAACATTTATATGTTTATTTTTGCATATAATTAACAATGCAAATTTTTGTATTGTGCTTTATTGTTTTATTGTTGCCTACTTATTTTGTTTATCAAGAAATTTGGAAAAGAAGTGAAAAATTATGGAAAATTTCATTTTTTGTTAATAATGTGGAATTGAAAATAAATATTTACACGTGAGACTAATATTATATTATATTTATTTTTGGAAACTTAAGAATATATTGAAAATTGATTAATGAATTATTATTTTCAATTATTGAATATTTACAGAAAAATCACATATGGGAATAGAAATGAATTCCTTAATCGCCCGATGAAGTAATATTCCGCATTTGACGAACCGCCGCGACTACTCGTGCATTACAACCCGATGTTCCACTTTGATAATCTTCGGGTGTCAGTCTCAATAATTGGGACATTTGCTGCAAATTTTCGGAGAGAGATAATCCCAATTCCTCCAGGACGTTTCCAAGGTAATCTGTAAGTTTTTCATTTCATTCAGTTCTTTTTATATTTAGACTTTTACTTTATTTAATTTGAAGAAAATTTTATTTCATTTGGGTAATTTGAATAAAATTTCATTATAATTAAATATTGATTTCATTTAAATTTAAAGAAATTTAATTGAAATTTGATTTAATTTAAATTGAATAAAATCAGGCCTCAGATATTATGACTTTTTCGACTTTTCTTCCAAATTTTAAGACAAAATACCATATTTTTAGTATAAAATGCAACTTATTTCGATTTTTTAGTGTAAAAAGCATAACTATAGACAAATCTTTAAAAATTTATTATTGAATAATTTTTCTAATTCAATTTTTGAAATATACATTTAAAAAGATTTTTAATAATTGAAATTTTGTAAAATTTAATTAAAAATAAATCATTTTTTCAAGTATTACAATTATTACAATTTTTAAAAATTAACTTTTAGAGAATTTTAATTGAAAATTTTAAAAATAAGTGAATTCTCAAAAATTTTAATGAATAATCTTCAAGTGTAAATTCAATAAAAATGAAAATTAATGAAAATTAGGTACTAAAAATAATATTAAAATAGTTTTGAAAAAAATAATTCTGTGAATTGTTTCGTTCTAATTTTTTAAAATTAAATTATTTTCAATTTTTACAAAATACAAAATAATAACATTAAAATCTTTTATCGAATTATTTTTAACATTTTGGAAAAAATAATCATGTTCAAAATTTTTAATTAAAATTCTTCAAAAAGTTATTTTTTTTTAAATTACACAAAAATTTAATTATTTTCGAAAAATTAAATTACAATATTTATAAAAAAATAATTCTTAGAATTGTTTTATCATAATTTTTCCAAATTCATTCAATTTCATAATTCAATTACCTTTGAACAAAGTAAATTACAAATTTAGAATTTTTAAAAATTTCCTACTCTAGAATTTTTAAAAAATTATTTATAATTATAATTCTTCAAAAATTTGATTTTTTAAAAACTCAATTATTTTTAAAAGATTCTATTAAAGTTAAATTATTTTTCAAAGATTTTACTAAATTTCAAATATTTTTCAAAGATTTTATCAAATTGCAATTATTTTTCAAAGATTTTACTAAATTTAAATTATATTTTAAAATATTTTACTAAATTTCAATTTTTTGGACATTTTTAAATTGTATGTAATTGTAAAACTATTGTCTTTCAAAAATGATTTAGAAATATTTTTAAAAAGTTAATTTTACGAATTTCTTTATTAAAATTTTTGAAGAAAAATGGACGGTTTCAATTATTATAAAAAATTGAATTTTTGTATTTAAAATTTAAATAATTGAATTCTTGTAGAATTTTCGGAAAATTATTAAAAATTAATATAGATAATTGATTTAGAGATAAAGTTAAGCTAAAAATTGTAGAAAATAATTGAGTTTTAATTTTTAGAAATTATTAAATTTCAGAAGTTGAAATTTTTTAAATTTTATTTCCTGTGAAAAATGAAATAAGAATTATTTAAATATATTTGTTTAGCAAAATTATTGAAGTTTGATTAATTGAATTCAGAAATCAGTGAAGAATCAGGGAAATAAAATATTAGATTTTTGTGACAACACTAAATTAAATAAACGATTTTTTCAACTTTTTTTCTATTTTTAATCAACTAAAGTGACTTTTTTTGCTTGTTAAAGTCGATCCGAGGTCTGTAAAATTTAATTAAAGTTTGATTTCATTTAAATTCAATAAAATATTATTTTATTTAAATTGAATAGAATTTAATAAAAAATTTATTTCTTTTCATTTATTTATTCTTATTATTTATTTAAATAAAATTGAATTCAAATTTTTATCAAACTGCGAAATATTTACCGATATCAGTCGCGAGTTGCTTGCAGGCTGCGAAATTTAATTCACAAATACCCAATGTTTGATCTTGAAACATTTGACAAGTTTCTTTGGCGACAATTCCCAGTAGAATATCAGCAAATCCCGATTCCGTGGATCCTTGATTATACTGAACGTCAGCTGCTTTTAAAGCGTGCGTTAAACTTGGATTGTCGCGCAATAAAAATGGTTCCAAATGTTGTGGCAATGTCATTAAATATTGTCCAATTTGTGTTATATATTCTTGAGGTGCAAAACTGTAGTCAGGTAAATCTGACGTTATACTGCTACCACTATTTTCCGTCATTGACCATGCTGGTGCTTTTTGCACCAGCAATAATTGCGTGAAAATCGGTGAAAATATCACCTCGTACGTTGTTCTATGCAAATCGGCGCATAATTTGTGAATTGCCTTTATCGTCGGGTCCAAAACAGTCTTGTCCTCTGAAAATAGAAACCAAAAGAAAATTAAAACGATTAAACATAAATTAATACAGTAATAAATAAGTTAACACAATAATAAGCAAATTAACACAATTTCAAACAAATTAACACAATTATAAACAAATTAACACAATTTCAAATAAATTAACACAATTATAAACAAATTAACACGATAACACTTAAAGTTAACACTATTTTTCATTGAATAATTTTTAATACGAGATGAAAAGAAAGAAAATAGAAAATTAAAAGACCGAAAAAAAATTGAAGGAAAATTTAGTAATTTTTCTTCTTTCCCTTTTTCTTTTTAAAAAAAGAATAAAATCTTCTTCTTTTTCTTCTTTTTTCTGTTAAATTTTTTAAGGTGAAAAACATTTTTCTAAGTTAGACAATAAAGATTTTAAATTAGAAACAGAAATATTAAAATTTTTCGACAGTGAAATTAGAAAAATAAATAACCTCTCTGAATAGACGATACAATATTCTGCAAATCCGTTCGACCAGCTGCCGTTAGTAATAAAATTTTGTACTGTCCAAAAACATTTGTAGACGAATTCTGAATTTTATTGTTAATTTCAATAATATCCATAGTCAATGTTTTTTCGAAATTTTCAACATTTCCCAGAAATTCACCTGAAAATGATCATTAAAAAAATTAATTTTCCAATTTACATTTTTTACTAGGTACTAGATATTAGGAAATTTAGAGGATTAATTAAAAAGTATTTTAATTAAAATTTCCCGATAAATTGAGAAATTTTCTGATTCCAAATTTTCCAAATTAAAATTTGCATTTGACAAAAGTACCTATAGTTTGCATAAGTGTCAAACACATTTGAAACAAATTCCAGTCCTCGTGTTTCACTTTTCTCTTCTCTAACATTCGAATGCCAGTTCTGTATTTTTCCACATAATTATTGAAGTATCCCTGGAAAAAATTATTTTTAAAATTTGTTGTCAATTTTCATAAAATTTTTCGAAAAAAAAATCGATAATTTAAAATAATTTTGATAAAATTTTTCGCTAGAATTCAAGTATTTAAATAAAAATTACAAAGTTCTTCGTAAGAATTGAATTATTTTCGAAAATTTTAATAAAATTTATTGCAAGAATTCAATTATTTAAAAATTTTTTTGTAAAACTCTTCGTATCAATTCAATTATTTCAAAAATTTTTGATAAAATTCTTTATGAGAATTTAATTTAAAGAATCATTCAATTAGTTATTAATTTTTGTATTTAAATAATTGAATTCTCGTTGAATTTTCTAATAAAAATTGATTAAAAAATTAATTAAAAATTTTACAGCTATAATTGAATATTAAAACAGTATACAATTTTTAGAAATAATTGAATTCTGAAAAGATTGTAAGTTAAAAGCTTTGAAAATCAAAATTTTATCTAACAATTCTGTGAAATTAATTTTTTTCAAAAGGTTTAATTGAAATTATTTGAAATTATTTTTAATATATATTTAATTGAAGAGTTTAGAAATAATTTAAATTTCGTAAAATTTAATATTGAAAACAAATGGATTTGAAAATTGTCAAAGAACTTTTTCGAAAATTATTAAAAATAATCGATTTAAAGAAGAATTTTAGTTGAAAATTCATGAAAATAATTTTGGAGAAGTACAATATTCTTATAATTTAAAATAATGATTTTATCTATTTGCTATTTTTAATTATTATAAAACATGAAGAAATTAATTGCTCCGAGTCGAAGACTCGGAGTGATCGATATCTTCATGATTTATAATAATATTCTTATAAGTTATTGAATTTCAAAAGATTTGAATTATAAATTTCGAAAATCTTAGTTCCCATGGAAAAATAATGACTAAATATTTATTTAAAAATGAAGTTATTGGTGTTTTTAAATAATTTTACAATTAACGAAATTCGTAAATATATGTAATAGAACTTTTTTTCGAGTATCTAATAAATTTTAGAGTAAATTAGAATATTCTGTATGGTCAGAGACAAAGTCAAAATTTTGTCTGGAAATCAGGGAAAAACAAAATTAAATTTTTTGTGGGAACCCTGAATCAGTAATTTACGAAAATATTTTATTCATTTGAGCATTCAAAACTCACTTTTATTAAAAAAAAAAAAATTGAAAAAACTTATTATTTATTAAAAAGTGTAATAAATTTGTCAATAACGTACGTTTAGAGATTTTAGTAAACCAGGATAACCACAGCCCTCAGTGAATATTTTACATCTTTTATTCGCCTCATTTGCGTAATCTAAAATTCTCGAAATACTTAGCGAGAGATAATTAATTGTTTCACTCAAATCATCGTGAATACAATCCAATGAATTCAATTGCTGTCCCAATTGGGCATTTTCATAAATACTGTATTTCGTGACATAGGGAACGTAGGGCATGTAAATTGCTTGTGCCAAATGCAACATTTTTTGCTCCTGAATTTTATTCTGCGAAATTTCTATTGCCCCTTGTAAATTAACAGTGAAGTGTCTCGTTATTTGCTTCAATTCCATCAATAATGTCAATTGCATTGCATTTGTATGTTGCTTTAAAGTTGCTTCAATACATTCCAATATTCCTGGATCCAAATTTCTCAGTAAATCCGTGTAAACTTCAATTAAAACTTCCACCGAGAAATTCTTGAAAACTTGCGTACACCACTTTAGCTTAAACGAAAAACAAAAGTTCATTTTATTCTCGTTACGAAAATTTATTTCATCATTTATTTAATTTCTATTAATTTAATTATTAATTGAATTAAATTATTATTAAATTAACTTAAATTTTGGATAAATAGAAATAAATTTCAGTCACTACTTTCTTGATTAATTAATAGTAGAATAATTTTAATCAAATACTTGGGAATATTTTTCTCTAATATTTGAAAAAAGAAACATTTTTCAATTTCTACATTTCCCGTTTTCCCGTTCTGATAAGTTTATGAGATTGAAGAAGTAATACCTGCTCTTGCCAGACGGATAACAATTTATCATAAAATGTATGTAGCCAATAGGTAATATTTTCGTCCTGGGCAAGTTCTATCGTTCGTCTCCATTCTTGGCTCAGGGAAACTTTTAAGCAATTGTGATAATATTTCAACAATTGCGGTAGGCGATCGATTTTGTTGAAAATATTTACGTAAATTTTCGATTGCTCTAAAACAGAATTTTTTTTTCGAAAATAGTAATTATATAACAATAATGTTAATAATAGTAACAAGGCTCAAAAGAACTTGCGAAAAAGTTCTTTGACAATTTTCAAATCCATTCGTTCACAATATTCAATTTTACGAAATTTCAATTATTTGTAAACTCTTCAATTAAATATATATTAGAAAATAACAACTTCAAAAAATTTCAAAACAAAATTCAATTAAACTTTTTGGAAAAAATTAATTTCAGAATTCAATTATTTCTAAAAATTCGAATGCTTTTAATATTCAATTATCTAAAATTTTAACTGAAATTAATTTTTAAATCGTTCATTTTGATGAATTCTAGTGTTTTTTTTAGTAATTAAATATAACTTGGAAAATTTGCTATCAAAACTGTAGAATGATTATAAATTATTACCTGCATTTGATGCCGTGAAAGCTTCAACAAGTCGAGGACTTGCCATCGCCTCGAGTCTATTTTTCAATCCCTCTAATTGTAACTTTTTATCCTCATAATCGACAACATTTGCCAACATTGTTAATGATTTTTGCATACTAAACAATTTACTGGCAATATTTTCAATATCGCCCGATTCAAAGACCTGAAATATTCAATATTTGATTAAATAAACAAAATCTGTATTAATAATCGTATTCCGGTAATTTTTAAATAATTTTTCTTTTCAAATATTTTCAATTTTAAAATTAATGTATTGAAAATCATTAAATTCTTGCAAAGAATTTTGGCAAAAAATTCGAGGACAATTAAATTCTTTCGAAGAATTTTATTATTTATGAAAATAATTAAATTCTTGCGAAGGATTCTTTTAAAAGTTTAGAAAATCCTAATTAAATTCCTTTGAAGAATTTTTTAAAGTTTTTTTTATATAATGTAGTTTTTTGAACAATTTTAATTGTAAATTTAGAAAATAATTGGATTTTATTAATAGTTTCTTTCAAGTTTTTAAAATAATCGTAATTTGTTAATAATTGAAATTAAACTTTTGATTATTGAATTTTATTAAAATTTTTAAAAATAATTGAATTCTTACGAAAAATTTTATTAATAATTGAATTGTTTCGAAAGATTTATTAAAATTTTAGAAAATGCTTGAATTTTTCGAAAAATATTATTAAAAACGAATAAAATAATTGAATTCTTTGGTGAAATTTTTCTTGAGAATTGTAATTGAATTTTTGCAGAGATTTTATTATTTTCAAAAATAGTTGAAAAAATTTGAGTAATTCTGACGATTTTCATTGAGAAGTTTAATAAATTTTTTCTTTTTGAAAAAATAAAATAAATTAATTTAACAAGTTTTGAAAAAAGAACCTCTTCCACGTCATTTGCCAATACTGTCCAATTATCCGCCTCGTGAAGACCTTGTTTTGCAGTTTGTAAATCAGTTTTAATTCTGTCGATTCTCTCTAAAACTGCAATCGAAGAGGCCGTGTCCTTTTCCACCTAATAATTTGAATTCATTATTTTTTGCCGAATTCAAAATTATATTATAAAATATTTCTTCTATAATATAATTTGCAATTTTTAATAATAATTACATTCGCGATCTCCTGTTTTACAACCACCATTTTATCCTGTAAAGCTGTTGCTTCTTGTTGCAAAAGATGAGTGTCGCGAAGAATTCTCGGCAAACTGGATAAAACAGATTGACTTGTTTCTTCAAGTGCTCCATTTATTTGTTGAACGTACAATTGTAATTTTGTCACCATAACAGTAGCAAATACCTGAAAAATTAATTTTCTGAAATTATTCCAATTTACAATAATTTAATTCATCAGAAAAGAATTTTTAATTCTCTAACAAGTTTTATTTACATTTTCGTCTTTTTTTTCATTTTTTTACCCTCAAAATAAGATTATAAATTAAAATTGTTATTAGAAAAATTAATTTCTTCCCCATTCTCTTTTTATTCGAACACTGAAAATAATTTTCATAAAACACCAATGAAAAAAAGTTTGTTTTTTTTTCTCAAAACAAAAAGAATAGTAATATCGGCATTCTCTTTTTTTAAATACTACTTTAAATTTTTAATAAACACGAATGAATAATTTAAAAAATGAAAAATAGAAATTTCAAAAATTTCAAAATTGCAACTTGGAAAAATAAAAACTTTTCATTTCTGGAGGGAAATTTACCACAAAAAAGGCGCGGTGTGTCAGTAACCATCTTTAAAGTTCATTCAAAGTTTAATGGTGCTTGTGTGCGGAAGTGATTAAAATTAAAAATTGCAAAAGTTGATTCAAATTATGAGTGTACTTACAAGAAAGCTTGATTTACCTGTTTAATTTCCGGATTTTCAGTTGATTTAAACGTTTTATTAATCCAATCTTTGACATCGAAATTTTCATCGGAAAATGCAGAGACATCCTGAAAGGAACTTTTGAGGTTAGAAAACATGTTTCACATAACTTTGCTTTTTTACTTTCAAATTAGTTAACTATCTCTACAAAAATAATCATTTTACTCAAGTAATTAACCATCTAATCATCTTTATTCTAAATCTGCAATTTCTCTATTTTTTTTTTGAGAAAAAACAAAAAACGGAGAAATAAATACCTGACAAGTCGCAAGTTTTTTATAGTAAAATTTTCTTACCATAATGAACAATTTCCCGTTTCTTCTGATTAATTTAATTTGCTTTCTCACTTTTATTAAAAAACTTGTATTTTATATTTCTTATTACGAACAATCAATAATTAAACGATTCCACGTCATAAGAAATAAAAACAATATAAATTCACTTCATTTTGTTTTACTCGTTCCTGGTTATTTCACAGATGACCAACAATTCAACTTACTCAACAAATGAAAATCGTCAATTATGAAGATTTTTTCAACAATTATATCTATTTTCTGTAGAAAAGAAAAAAAACAAACTTGATTGAGATTGAGATACTAGTTCGTTGATTTTGCGACATTCAACGTGGAATGTTCAGTTTAGGTTAGAATCGTGGGCCCCACAAGATACACGAGAAGTGACAAATTAACTTTCAATTACCCTTAAAAATCATAAAAAAGTCTGAACAATTTTTTAAAAAACTACAACAAATGGTTTAAAGTAACATTCTTTATTAATCAACAAAAAAAAAAGTAAAAAGTGCTGAACAAAGATTAAAGCAGAAAAAAATCGTGATCGCGATTTTTTCACCAAAAACAAGTGCCTATCGTGATTGAATATTTTCTCAACCTATAATATTAAAAATATAGAAAAATTAGATGAAAGTAAATTAAACATTGCATTTAATTGCATTGTAGTTGCATTTATTATATTGTTTATTTCCGGGGCCCTGTATTTCCCACAAGCCACGCCTCCAAAGTTGCGTTTGCGCATCACGTTTTGCGCAACAGTTGGAACTTGGAATTTTGCCCCGAATTTCCTCGTCCCTCCCGCCATCATTTTGACGGTGTTCCAAAATAAGGAAAAAGCCAGCCAGTTTAGCGGGTCTCAGTGCAGTAAAGGTCTTTTTTTATTATTTCGTCACGGAAATTTACTCGCGATTTATAATAAATTAATACCGACAAACATATCAATGAACATCAGTGCACGTGTCAACTTGAAAATTCGAAATAACATTCGTGTATAACAGTGTGAAATAATTGCGGATGTCAGAAATATATAGTCAACTATATATTGACCAACCTGATTAACGGTTATGTTTTGAGGTTAGTCGACAACTTATTCTTTTTTTTAACTGTTGAAAGACGTGAAAAACAATCGAAATAAAAAAAACTGTGAATGTGTGAATGTTGTTTAATGTTTACTGGTTATTTATACTAAATATAGAAATAGTAACTTAATACCGGTATTGACTATTGTTTTTTGTGTTTGTACAACAATTGAAGAGTACAACATTGGAAGAAAAGAGTGTTTATCGGCGGAAGTGTCATTTTTTTGGGAAATTAGTTTTGCTAGTGTTTTTGTAAGGAGAAATTTGTTGAAGGGAAATAAATTTTGAGGTTAGATTGCAGTGAAGTAACAAGAACGGTTATCTAAAGGGGGTTTTCTTTTTTGTTTCTTTTTCTCGTGTTTAAATTTTTTTAGTGCGTTAAAGAAAAAATGTCAACGAAGTCAATAACAACGCGAAGGGTTCGTCGTCGCCGGTGTAAATTCATAGGTGGGTGGCTTTTAAATCGACAATTCAAGCGATGGTTAACTCCAGTTCGAGGTGATAATCACAAGGCATATTGCGCACTGTGCGAGAAGATTTTCTCTGTTGCTCATGGTGGCCTCCACGATGTTCGCGCGCACTTTAAAGGAAAGAGGCACATTTCTTTTGAAGTTGCGAATAGCCAATCACAACGTGCACAACGGCTCGCACGATTGGCGGACTCAGGATCGCGGAATCAGTGTACAACGCATTCATCCTATAGGAATCGACGATTGCTGCTCGGACGAGTTGAACCAGATGATGTTGAATATTGTGAACAGGTATTTTTTTTTTTTGTTGTTGTACTCTCTTCTTAAGCCCCGACCATGCAGCCATTGTCTCAACATCGATAACACCAAGAATGCACGTCTACTTTTACGTCTCCCCGCTGAACGACAAAAACCAAGTAATAGAGATATACAAACTACCAAAACCCTTCCCTTTTTTTTGTAATAGAAATATCCAATGTTATTTTCCTTATCAAAAAATTTGTAAAATTGACTGAGATATCATTTTTTCTGGTCCAGTCGAAAAAAAACAGTTGTCGTGAAATTAGGACATGCTTGTAGGCGTTTTTTATCTCCCTTACTTGTTATTTATTTCTTCACCCCCTCTCACACCATCAATGTTGATTATTAACAGTTTCACACCCTTCTCATATGTATATATATAATTTTCATGTTCCCATTTATTTACCTAAATTTATAGAAATGATGCAAAAAAAATCATAATTTGTTCATCATCATCATCATCAATGTTCAAATGCCAAAATTGTTTTGTGCTTGAATATTAACCCCGCCCCTTTTTTCTCTTCTAACATTTTTTATATCCGCGCAAAATGGTGATTTGTGAATTTCCTAGATAAATATCACTGTTTGCGTTTTGTGTTTGAGTGTTTATTTTTTTTGTTATTATTTCATCATGTTTAAAAAAAGAAACTTTCTTGTTATAATTAAATTATAGTACAAGGAATGTATCGATGAATTTTGATGGTTATATTCCTAATCCACTCGCAAGGCGTATAATATTGACCTAGGTCAGGAACGTTCGGGGTGTTGCCGAGAAGGCCGTAGATATATATACAGGAGAGAGAAAAAGAGTGAAAGAGGATGAGAGAGAGAAAGATGGAGATAGAGATGTGAAGAGGAGATGTTATATACGAATAGCGGTTATTCGTGTACAGGAAGAAACGGTTTTTTTCTTTACTTATTAGAAGAACAAAAAAAAAAAAGAAAAAAAATGAAGTAAATGAACAATTTTATCTGAAATCAGTAAAGTGCAATATTTATAAATCTAGATAATAGGTATGTTACAGAATTCATTCAAGCATAAATTATTTTTGTTTTCATTGAAAAATTTTTCTGTTCATTTTCTTTTTATTCTTCACTGTGTGTTATTAATATCCATATGTCATTAACATTTCAAGTGTTTTAAACTCATTTATTTTATATTTTATTTATCGCACTCAAGACAAAAGTGTTTCTTAAATTAGTGTCAATTCTCGGGAGTGGAACTTGTTATTTTTTAATAGAAGGATATTTAATTCGATTCTTAATGTGAGTTAATTGTGTTTTTCAAGAGAATTCTATTTATTATTTAATTATTAAATAATTAATTTTTGTTATTTCATTATTAAATGATTAATTTTTGTAATTCAATTAGTAAATGATTCATTTTTGTAATTTAATAATTAAATGATTAATTTTTGTAATTTAATTATTAAATGATTAATTTTTACAATGTAATTATTAAATGATTAGTTTTTATTATTTAATTATTAAAAAATTAGCTGTTAAATAATTTTCTTAAATTATATTTCAATTTTATTTTTAATTAAAGAAGCTTTCTTTTTAAGAATAAGAATTTTTTAATTTAAAGAAGTGTTTTTTTTAATTTAAAAAAAAGTATTTGTTGAATTAAAAAATATTTTTTGAATTAGGAAAGTGTTTTCTTAAATTAAAAGTGTTCTTTAATTGACAATTTCTTAGATTTAAAGAAACATTTGTTTTTTTTAACACGAAAAGATAGTTTTTGTATTAAAAAAGTGAATTTTTAAAATAAAAAGTATTTTTTTTAATAAGAAATTCTTTGATAAATAAATTTTGTTTTTCAATATTGTACTTTTTTATAAAATAATTTTTTAGATTAAAAAATTTTCTTTAGAATGAAAAGGTATTTTTCGAATTACAAAAAGTATTCTTTAAATTAAATTAAAATTAAATTATCAGTTTAAAAAATGTTCTTTGAATTAAAAAAGTATTTTTTAAAATTAAAAAGTGTTATTTGGAATAAAAAAGTATTTTTCGAATTAAAAAAATATTCTTTACATTAAAAAGTGTTCTTTGTAATAAAAAAGTATTTTTTGAGTTAAAAAAATATTCTTCAAATTAAAAAATAATCTTTGAAATAAAAAAAATTTCGAATTAAAAGAGTATTTTTTAAATAAAAAGTCTTCTTTGAATAAAAATAGTATTTTTCGAATTAAAAAAATATTCTTTGAATTAAGAATTGTTCTTTGAATTAAAGAAGTATTTTTTTAATTAAAAAGTGTTCTTTGAAATAAAAAAGTATTTTTTGAATTATAAAAGTATTTTTTGAATTATAAAAGTATTTTTGAATTATAAAAGTATTTTTTTGAATTATAAAAGAACTTTTTTAGAATTAAAAAAGTATTTTTAAATTAAAAAATATTTTTTGAATTATAAAAGTATTTTTTTGTAATTAAATAAGTATTTTTGAATCATAAAATAATTTTAAAACTTGTTAATAATTTAGAAACAATTTTTTATGTAAACAATAATTGTTCTTCAACATTTCTTTTTTCAAAATTATTATTAAAAATTTCAATCTTAAATTCTGTGACATATTCGTATGATTTTTGAATATTTTTTCCAAAGCTGGTTTTATCGGAAATTTTCGTTCTTTATTCTTTTCAATGAAATTTTTTCGACTTTTCTTTCCTTTTTTTTTTTTGTTTATTCACTCTATATTCTGGCACTCCTTCACATTTCCATACTCTGAGGGTTTTACATATAAATGTTTAGATTGTCACTATTATCTTTTTGCATTTTTGACGCTTTGTCCGTTTACATTAAACAATAATCTCCATTTGACATTATATATCCCCATTTGAATTAATTTTATATTAAATTTTTTTAATGTCAATTTAAAAACTTGGCAATTTAAAAATTCAAATATAATTTTAAAAATGTTGTATTAAATATTATGTAAAAAAATATTATATCAAATATTTTGCATTTAAAATATTTCTATTATACGAAATGTATTAAATATTTTGTATAAAATGTATTAAATATTTTACATAAAATATATTATTATTTTAAAATATAATGCAAAATATAATACAAATTTTATTTACATTTAAATAGTTAATTTAATTTAAATTACATAATTTAAATCTAATTATTATAATTAAATATATAATTAAAGTGAAAATGAATGTAAAGAATTTATTTATAACAATGATTAGTCGGAATTGAAATCAAATTTAGATATTAGTTTGTCAGTTGGTATATCGCAGATTCTTCAGTATTTTTTAAAAGTGAAGTTCTTGTGAAAATTTCTTTTTTTTTTAATTTTTAATTTGATGGTATTAGTTTATCTTCTTAATTCTCATAAACGCAAAATACTAGTTTCTCAGTAGCCAATAATTCCTTGAAACATAAAACGCTTCAATTACTAACTCAGGACATTTTTTATATTTATATATATGTGTGTCTGTGTAAAAAAAAGTCAGTGCTAAAAAATATCCAGGAAAGATAACATTTTACTGTCTTTTCCGAATAATGACCGTTATTGTCAATTTGAAAATCTATATAAGAAAATTAATTCAATTTCTTTATGCGTGCTTCATTTCTAATCAATATAGATAAAAAAAAGTTTATTTATTTATTACAAAGTTGATTAAAAAAAATAATTTTTTTAATCAACTTTGAAATAAATAATCAAGAAATTGTTCATAATATTTCTCGATATCAAAAAATTGATTTAATTCAAATAGTGAAATGCAATTGAGTATTAAATAATTAATTATTTAGTAATAACTAATTAATTATTTAATAATAGGTAATTAATTATCAAGATTAGATATAATAATGATAATATAATTAGTTAATAATATTATTAATTAATTAACTATTAATAGTTAATATTTAATAGTAATTATTAATAATAGTTATTTATAAAGTAACTATTTATAGTTAATAATTAATATTAATTAGTAATTGAAGGCAATAATAATTATTATTAATAATTAATAATTAATAGATAATAATTATTACTTATAGTACCTATTACTTAAATAATAATTATTACTTATAAAATATTAATTATTTTTCCACATAATCATAGTCAAAGTAATTATTTGAATCAATTAAATTGTTTGCTTTTTACTCAGTGTTGAATATACTAATTCTGGTTTTATAACAATAACGTCTGGAATAATTAGTTGAATGCAAAAAATTTTTTAGCGTGTTTTCTCTCAAAAAATTTTCTCCTTTTTGATTTCTCTTTTATATACTGAATTTTTTTCTTTTGAAGTGAACAATTTCTATTGATAGGAAATCTTTTGTTCGCCATATAAGCTCCTCTTGAAATATTAGATCATTAGAAGGACCAAGAGACGTAATTTATTGAACGCGACCTAACCCTCGTCGCGTCACTTAAAGAGAAAATAATGAAGCAATGAGGGAGAGCAGCAGTAGCAGCAGTAACAAATTTACGTCCTCGAATTTTTCCACTCAAAAATTATTCAATACATCTCTTACATAAGACGTAATTTATGCTAGCCAGTTTTTCCTCTCCTCATCTCGGCACTCTGTTCGTAAAGTACTTGCACAAAAAAAAAAAAAGAAATTAAAAAGAAGTCTGAAAATTTTTTGCCAATTTCGCACCGCGAATTAGGAATATTTATCGTTAGCGGCAAAATTAAAATTTTTTTATGTCTCTACTTAATACTAATTATTAATTTTTTTTTTTAAATTTTAATTAATAATATTTTAGATTCTATACGAATTTTTATGAATTTTTTAAAAGTATTTTACATTATTCACTCGAATTTCGAATTTGTTTGAAGAATAATATAAAGATAATTATTTAATTGAAATTTATATATATATTTAATTAATTTAATTAATAATGTTTCTAATGATTCGAACTTTTAAATGAACGATAACTTTTTTTCATATTTAAAATTTGAATTTCGTTAAAAGATATTTTTTTAATTTAGAAAATTAATTCCTTTCGGTAAATGTTGAATTTA